GGTACCCAATGGACCAGGGATGGAGCCCTGGCTGGGTCCGTAACACTCAGTCTCTCTCTCTGAATGTCTTGGAGGGGACTATTTGGAGAACAATCAAGACCACTGCAAATATGATTGATGTTCCTTTGATCATGGGGCAGTCTTGATTATCGAGAAATCTGATTGTAAGATTGCCAACTCTTTGCATATTCATGCATTATTTACTGTGCAAATGTGTGACGCACATGATTACATATACTGACACTCTTGATTATCCAGAATTGCCTAATATTCCTCGACCTATCGACAGGGGTTGATTGATAAATAAGTTATTTGAGGGTAGGGAGAGAGAATGGTTGGGTATCGAGAGAGAATAGTTGGGTAGGGAGAGAGAATAGTTGTCTGCTCCCCCTCCCTCTGCTGCTGCTTGGCATTACCTAAAGGCTGTGTTGTAACGAGATGACGTTTTGTTTCCTGTCCACAATTATGTGGGTAATCTGCCTCTTTCAATTCAGACCTAGGTGAGCATATCCACCACCCAGTAAGAGGCACCTCAGCATACGATCGCGCGTTATCTATTGTCTGGGGGGTTGAGGAATTCCGAAATATGCTTCGATTTACCACAACCAGGTTCATCTCGTAAAATCTAACGCATCAACAACACGACCAAACATAGATCTTCCTACAGGACCATCTACAATAGATCCAGTACGTTTGACAATATTTCTTTAATGGCAGTATCACTACCAAAAACCACAATTCCTACACTCATTTTCTAGATTCAGTGCCATTCCTTTAACACCACTGGAAAATTCGACCATTTCTCCAGCTTGAATCTTGTTCAATCCATAAACAAGTGCAATTCCATCTCCTACCAAAACCACTCGCCCGATTTCATCCACTTGTAACTTGTAGCGGATCGGCCTTGCCGAACACGTCCGGGCAATTCTCCCACCAGCATCTAACGTTCACGAGTATTCCGTTGTTAGGAAACCCGGGGAGGGGTCATCTGTCCGCTGCTGAAGCCAGGGACAGCGGCGTCTGTCACCCGCCGTGCCCGCTTCAGAGGTCCTCAGCGGCGGAACAGGGAGTGGGTTTCGTATTGCCCGTCACACCCCACCTGAATGGTCGGTCGGAAGGCCGTCACGACATGCCCGAATGAAAGGAAGCTTAAACAAAATTAAATAAATTATCACGGACTTAAAGATCCGTTAATCATCAAACATGTGTAGGTAATTAATAGTACACAGACTCATAATTTTACCCAAATAAACAAGACGCAGTCGAGCGTGAGAGGGTCCACACGAGAAACTCTCATAAACCCCAGGGTAATGCCTGCAACTTTGTATCACCTTGTAGGGTCCTTTCAGATTGTCATGCAGTTCCCGCCACAGCGATGCTGTCCCCATTTCTCCCCAAGTTGTTACCCCATGTCACAGCGTGACGATCTGTGCAATGCTTTGAGATTACTTGCTGTCTGATGCTCAGGCCTAGCTTTGGGTCCTATTCCCCTTCACTGTCAAGTCACTGGTATCAACCTGGTTTATTGTTGAAGCAGGCCCAGCTCCCCTTTGATGATCAAGTTGGGCATGTGAGGGTGGTCTCAGGGAGTATCCACCATTTCCTGTTCGTCTGCATTTGCTCCTGGTCAGTCCTAGGAAATCGCACATGTTCGAAAGTCACCCTCCTACTGTCATTTTTCGTTATGTCCAATCCTCGTCCTTTTAAGAATCCGAACGGTCAGTTTTCCTGAATTGTAGCCCCCTAAAGGGATGTGGTGTCCGATCGTTSATAGAACCCCCCCAAGTGTGAGAGGCCAATTTAATTCGAATTTCAGCTCAAAAATCCGTGCAGGAAGCCTCATGCAATCCTCTGTTTGAGGTTTCTCGTGGTCCAGTCCCTTGCTGAGGCCTCCCCCATTTATGGAAACCCTCTTTCAATCCCTGATCACTCTCCTTCACTTCTTCTTCTCTCTCTCTCTCTCTCTCTCTCTCTCTCTGTGCATGCGTGTGTGTGTGTGTGTGTGTGTGTGGGTGTGTGTGTGGGTGTGTGTGTGTGGGTGTGTGTGTGTGTGTGTGGGGTAGCCTTTACTCACATAGGGAGTGCGTCGCGGCCCRCTGATTTGTCAACATATGCGGAAAATGAATAAACGAATCTGCAGCAAGAGTACGGTCAGGTGCTTTCATCCTCTTCCTCATTTTCTCACAAGAGTGTGATGCTTCCTGCCCTCTCTTCATCAAATGCAGGCTTAACAGAGTTCACTCCTACGCGTTGGTGATCATGGACGCGTTGGGCGATGCTTTCAAAAGGGCACACATCTCTCCAATCCATTGCGGGGCAGCCGTACAACACCGCGCCCCCTCCGTGCAAGTCATCTTCTCCCACCCGTGCCTTGTGATAGGGATGTATCTGGCCGCGTCAGCAGACTTAACGCATTTGTAAAATAAAATAAATAAATAAATAAATAAATAAATGAAAACGCAACGTTTACAGGCTGAAGCAGCAGACAGCTTTCCACTCTTTCTCTCTCTGTTCTTCCTCTCGGCCTCTCTCTCTCACATGAAGCCTCGTCTCTCTCTCAAAGTCTCTTTTGCTTACTTACCAACTCTCTCCGCCAGCGCACTCTCCTTCTTTCTACCAACGCACTCTCCCTCTCTCCCTTTCTCTCTCTCTCTCCTCTGTCTCTCTCTCACACACACACACAGTTGATGGAGACAGCCAAGCATGGGCACAGGTGGCCAGACGGAAACGCAAACCGCTAAGGGAGGTAGGTGACCATGCAAGCAGGCATAGGATGTCGAAGCCAGCTCCCATGTGAACGAGGATTAGCAAGTACGATAGATGCTGATTGTCAACTTACGTGTAGTCGCTGATGTTCGACTACCAGCGAGTCAGACTGTTGACATTATCCTCACCCACTGTAACTGCCGTGTTAGCAGCAGCGCCCCATGAACGAGCACTGGGACCAACAGACACGTTCACCATGCTTTGAGGGAAACACACGCTTGTGTGTTCCCATGCCCTCCGGTGTAGTCCACTCCCTCCCGTGTGGGTCGCTAGTTCACTGTGTGTGATCTGAACATTCTCTGTTCACAGTAGTCCACTGATTACCATGCATCGTCGTCCACGTGTATAGAACACCGCTGGTTGTCGTGCGCCGATGTTTACTGTGAGCTGATCACCAGTAATCATCGCGTATTGATGATTACCGTACGCTGAAGTACAGCGCATTGATCACCGCTGATTACCATGTGTAGATGATCACCTTGCGGTGAAATCCTCTGGGTGG